ATTATCATCACTTTTTACTGAAGAAGAACAGGTTATCAAGGAAGCGTGTACAGATATTACAACATTATTATTAAAAATTCATATTCTCCTCAAACGTATTCGTAAATTGGTATCAATGATACATAAATGTAGCACATTAAACAGATATGTTGACAAACAAATCAAATTAAAAGAAGAAAATGCTAAAAAACAATCATCCGAAGAACAAAAAAATAATCGATTAAAAAAATTCACATTAGATATGAAAATTAGGTGGAACAGTACGTTTATCATGTTGTCACGCTTCGTATATTATAGTTCAATTATTAATTCATTAACACATGATCCAACATCAATAATAGGTATTAAATTATATCAATGTCGTATATTAAGAAAATTATCATTTTCGTCAATTGATTGGACAATTTTAAAATCGATTGAACATGTTTTATCACCTTTCAATGATGGAACTATAGCTTTGTCAAATCGACATCGACCAAGTTTGTCGATTAGCTATGGCGTAACACATGCAATTAAAAGCTTTTTGAAAACAAAAGACAATGCTCCATTAACATTGGAGAACATACTCAAAAAGCACTTGTTATCAACATTTGAATACTATTTTGAAAAACATGTGACAGATGAACAAAACATTATTACATTAGTATGTATAATTTTTTCTATTTAAACAAAACCACGAAATAAAAAGTTTTCTAGAACATCTTTAGGATATATGAAACAAGTGAAAAAATCTCGCAATTCTTAACATGTAAAAGTCTGAAATATTTCACGTTATTCTAAATATGTCTGAGCATTATTATAGAATAGTTCATTTTAAATCTCAACTCTTAGAATAAGCAACCGAAAAAATTTTCCTAGTGCCCTATCTTATAATGGAATTTTGCATTTTTACATTTCGAATTTATTTTAAATGTTAGAATTCGAGGATGCGCCTCTGGATTTGACTTTTGCTCTTTATAAACTCTTCGAAAGGCACACTCCTTCCATTTATTGCATAGTTCGAAGTGAAACTATTGGATAATTAACGTGACAAGATAATGTGAGAATAGTCCATTGTTAGATTCGATAATATTCTAGTAGAATCTATCACTTTCATATAATTCTAAACCATCTGATGTGGTCTCTATATATATTTATAGAATATCAAAGAAAGAGAAAGATGGAAATACAGTCAATATATATATGATAGATGCTTGTTCATTCTATCCAGCATTTCTTCCAATTTTACACGACTTTAAAATGAAAAATGTCAAAATGAGTTTTGTTTATAAAAAATATTCGGAAATTTGACCAGATTTGGACACTGCCAATGACTATTATTTTAGAAGTTTTCGAAAAAAAAAATATTAAAAATCGAGAATTTGAACACTTTCGGAAATAGTTTCCACTAATATTTGTGAAATTCTTCCCTCTAAAAAATATACTAAAATCCAACAAAGTCTAGTAATGACAATCGAGCAAAGACAATTTTAACCGTAAAGTTACTTATGATAGACGGTGTAATATCTCGTCGATATATTATTCATAATAATAATGATTTCTAAGCTGAGATCGAAGCAATAGATAGATAATGGATATATAAATCTAGAAAACGATACTATTTATCTATGAATTTATTCAGTATCCGATATTTCTATTCGACAGAGTATGAAAATCAATTGAGAACTGTTTTTTCTTGAGAAAATCCAGAGCACTTTCTCATTCTGATCATACAGTCAACTCAACTGTATTAATTGCCTTTCATAGATAATTCATCTTCGAGCGAGTTTTTCCAAATCATCACGATAAAACGTTTGTTAACCTTGATTTCAACAGAAAGATTTCAATTATATGAGTAATTGATTAGTCTTGACCATTCATCTTTAGATTTCTCTCACTTACAATTTTGACCATCTATTATACAAAAAAACATATGACAACAATACAATTAGACAAATAATGACCATCATTTTATTTTTTATTAATAAACGGTGAAATAAACAATTAAATAAATAGTCATTTATCAATATATAACCCAAATGTCTTTTATACTCTTCGTCAAATTGACGAAGTTTTTTTAAAAAACATGTGAAAAGAGTCATTGAAAATATCATTAAAAGAAAACTAGAATTGAGTTACCTTATCAAAAGCATCAATTTTTAGTAAATTCGATATGTTCATATCAGGAATAAGTTTTAGAGAAGTTTATTGAATAGAGGAATCATAGAAACTTAATGAAGACACACCAACAGTTCTACTAAATCTGATCACTCATAAATTATCACTTTGATTTGATAACGATACGAACTTCTAAACATAGATATCTATTTGATTAAGTATTTATTCTGTGTCATGTTCCCATAGACATCCTCTTCCCAGCCTTACAATTGTTGAGACGATCGATTCTCTTTCGTTAATATGTTTCTTCTAATCTTCTAATTTATGAATTTGCCTCCTTTTAAGAAATATAAATTATTTTTTATTTTTTCCATATCGAAAACGAGGAAACTTTCATCGTTGATATTTATAGGGAGACAATCTGAGAGCGATAAACGAATAAAGTCTTCGAAATATTTAATCGAATTTACAAAATAAAAAAGACAAAAATAAGTCATTGTCAATTGAATTCAATAAATAAATGAAGATCTTCTCCTATAAAATCATTCTAACTTATATTTATCGTCCGAATAATTCGTGCAGATAAACATTTAAGATTGAGTTGAATCGGTTCTGTTTCAATAAGAATTCGAATTATTTCGTTCTTAGCCTATTCTTCTGGGATTTGTTTATCATTCGTAGCGTCAATATTTGGAAAATTGTTTTTATATAATTCATTTTTTCATATGAATAACATTCGCGTTCATTTTGGTCAAGTATATCTAACCAAGTATTACGATTGAAATCCATTGCATTGACCAGCCCTCTGCAGAATAACAATAGTTTTACCGTTGGTAGAGATGGAAATAGAATAAAAAGGATACTTAGAGATGTCGTATCTATGTAAACATAAAATGCAATAATGTTTCTTTTTCCAAAAAATACTCTACGACAGTCAAAGTCAACTATATTTTTGAACTATTATTGATTCCAGAAGTGAACAGATTCGCTTGTTTTTCAATAGCTTATCATAGAAAGAAAAGAGAGAGACTTGCACTTTTCAGCATTTGATAGTCAAAGATCCAGGAGGATATTTTCATAAGGAAAATCTTTTCTGAAAAGGAGTTCTAAAATCGATTTTTCAGAGGATTTCTGGAAATTGTCATTAACAATCTAGTGATTTTTTTACATATTTAGAATCAGCATCGAAAACTGAGTCGATTCGTGTATATTTCGAATTTTTTCACGAGCTTTTTTTTTCGTCGAAAAATTTCGGTATCGTTTTTTCGAAAAGATTTTGCTTATGAAAATATTCTCCTGGCTGTTGGCTATCAAATGGTGAAAAGCTCAAGTCTCTATCTTCTTATTAAGAAAATTTATTCAAAAAACAACCGAATCTCTTCACTTGTGGAACCAATGACAGTTCAACAAAATTGTTTTTCACTCTTGCATTTCGTTTTCACTACTTGATAACCTGTAAAAGTGATAAAAAAGAGAAAAATTGAATAGAAATTCTCTTTCGTAGTCAAACAGTGTCAGAGTGGAAGTCAAACTAAGAGTTTAGGTTTGAGATATTCATCTTGAACCCAACGCTAATCTTGAGATTTATTTTCAAATAAAAAAAGTTTAATACCTTGGCCACTTTGACGGTGAAATGTGGAAGACAGAATATTTTCAATAAGTTTGAATATTGAACTAGATTTTAAACTAACGTATGACCTATAATAAATGGTTGAATTTTCTATTAGATTTTTTTTTAATCATCTAATTAAATAAGAAAATATACTAGAAGATGTACCGTGAAAAGCTCAACAATCTGGAAAGTAAACCTTATTTTAACTTTATACTTTTTTTTCAAAACAAGCCAACACTCTGTTTGACCAATTTTCGACTCAGCGAAAAGTGTTCATATCGAATTTAGCTTTTCTTTTAAAGATAAACTTACATTCTCAATTCTTGATCTTTTCATCCTGCATCTTATCCTATATTTTATTCTTTTTTTAGATGATCAATGATTGAAAATCAGTTTTTATCTATTATTTATCTGGGAAACGTTATCTTTGGACACAAGCAGTTTTAAAGTTCGTTGTAATCGATCTATCTATTCGTAAACAATTCTAGTCTTACAGATAAATAGGTTACCAAACGACTATCTTAGAAGCCTTGACAGGTTCGTTATAATAGGAAATTAATCAAAACTGGATCAACTCTTTTACGATAAAATGAGTATCAGTGAAACAAACTGAGAAAACTTTTTCTCTCACTTACTTTTATCGCAATATAGAGGCACTGAGATATCCCATATGAATATCTATGATGAGTGTATCCTATATCCTTATAATAATAATTCGATGATTATGCTAAATAATGATTTAGAATTCCTGCTCCGATTCCTAATATGAAGTATTTGTTTTTTATATATTCATCTATAGTTTATTGCAATAGGAATGTTAATCTCGTCTAGATAGAAGTTTTCTTGAATCATCAATTTTCGCTCTTCTCCCATTGATAGAGTCAGTTTTTAAATTTTCATATAACACATAATAATCGTTTGTATATGATCAAACATTCTTATATAAATCCGATTTCGATCATTCTTTATTAGTTCTACTTGTTTAATTGTTTGACACTCTACGGAATATTTATAGAGGTCAAGTGGAGTTGCCAAATTAATTTAACGAATTGATGCGTCTAGATTTGAATATCTTAATTGGATGCTCGATGAACAGATACCGATTGTATTTTTCTTATATGTCGATTCGATCAGAATAAATTAAATAATTGAAAGATCGAATTAGTTGAAGTTGATCGATAATCTGTGAACTTGTATACCCGTACTTATTCTTATTTTGAATAAAATAATCCTTTGAGAAGTAATCAAAGAGTATTGAAATGTCCTCTATATAATGGTAGATACTCATACTATTCTATTAATTATTTGTACAGAATTTCTTGGATTACCCGAAGGGTTTATATTTATCGGCTAGGCAGATATATTCTCTGTAGGAAATCTTGTGAAGGTACAGAAGAAGTTTAGATCGCTTTTTTTTCGTTATTTTCGACTATTTTTTTTTTAATCAGACACAAGGTGCGAATTCTAACAATGTGCTTTTGCTATAGCATGAAATTTATTGAACATATTCGATAAGCATGAGTAAAAATTATAAATATTACGAAAATAAACCCCAGAAGATCACTAAATCTAATTTATTAATACTTGGAAAATTTCAACTCTATTGAAAAAAACTCAATAAATTTTTATTATTTTATTTGTCTTTTAGGTATCAGCATTTCTTGATCCAACAACGTACCGATATGTAACAGATGGTCACCGAAAAGAAGCTGAAGCTATTTTACTCAACGAAAATTCAATTATTCATTCAAAATTAAATTTACAAACAACATCATTATCATCTTCTCAATCAACAGATATAACATCAACGATCAAACAAGAAAAAAACAATTCATCTGATATACTATACAATTTATACAAATCATGTGGTTTATCCTGTAATAGAATGTCGAATAATTCACACAAATGGACTGTAAAAGAAGAACTTTGTCATTATTTATCAACAGTTGATGAAAATCAAACTTTTTCTCAATATTGGAATAACCATAAAACTCGTTTACCAATACTTTCATCAATAGTACGTCGTTACAACATCATCTCTGCAACTTCCATATCGAGTGAAAGTACTTTTAGCATTTCAGGTTTCATTCAAAGTAAGCACCGAGCTTCATTATCACCAGAGATGTTAAGATATTCTATGATACTACGTAATTGGGATATCAACTGAGAAATATAGTGTTTATTGTAGTTGAATCTTCTACTTTTTTGTTCTTTTATTTTTATACAAATTTTATCATAAGAGAAATATTTATCTGATGTATATACGTTTTTGATGAAATTAGAAATTTATCGTGTTGAATTTTTATATTTTATTATCTAATTATTGTATAAAGATTATTAGAATCGAAAATAGCTCATTCATGTATAGATATTTTTTTGTAATGTTGATAAGACGAAAAGAACATTTTCTGATATAGAATCTTGAAATAAATGAAATATTTGGACAATGATATACATTTGTAATAAGCCAACAGTAAGAAATATAAATTCAAATTATGGATTCTTAAAATATGAAGTAATTTCAAAATGCACCATAAAAAAATCTAATTTCGATCCAAAGAATATCGCACTTGTATCACGATCTTCCACTTTGTTCTCAGTCTGCTTCATAGAACTGAAGAGCGAAAGTTCTGTCTTTTTTTCTCTTGGAAAATACATATGCAACATTTTTTTTACTTGGATCTGTCAATAATACATCATAAATCTTTGAACTAGCTTTGTTTTTCACAGCTGATATGGATAACCTGAATCAAATCAACACAAAGCGAACAAATAGTAAACATAGAAAATCCAAAATTCCTAATGGGAATTTTCTATTATGACCTGATTTAATATGTTTTCATTCTTATGCAGTCATTTCATTTATAACTTGGAATTTTTTTTCTCGTAATTGGATATAACACGTAAACTGTGTCTGCAAGTCTCAACGTCATTCAACCTTCAAAGAATCTTATGTTTCTATGAAACGTGAGCTTAAAGTAGCGCTGAAACCTATTAGATAGATGTCTGGATCCACTCCTCCCGTCCACCATCACAAAGAGTCACAGACATTGGTCAAGAACATTAGAGACCGTTGCATACCTTATATGTATAATCTGTCTTTCTTATGCTTCTACTAACTCCTCATTGTATTTATGAAAGACTTTCTAAAAAGTTGGCACATATATATGTGCTAAAATAATTACAATGATGCATTAAAGGTATTATTGTGTTTCATCTTTTAATCCTACAAGGATTAAAGAAGCGCCTAGTGTGTTAGAATTAGATACAGGTGCTGTGAGTCTCTATACAGCATCCAAAAAATTACAGTATTTTTGAAATTTTATTACAATGTTACAAAGACCGAGTTGTTCTATGTTGTACTATCATGAGTTCAATAGAATGTCGACCACTGGATGCTGTTTATAGTACAAAATTCCTGCCATTTTGAATAACTCAAAGTATTGAATCAATTTAGCTGATAACCTTTTTAATTAATATTTCTTAGGACTGAGTATACTTCAAAGCAAACTACAACCTACATCACTATAAGAGCAGTCTAAATAAAATTTTTAGCACTTAGATGAGTCTCCGTGGATTATTGTAGGCAAAATAATATTTGACATTCGTGTCTGTTTTGAGTCTACACGATAATATTCAAGTGATTTCATTGAAGGACAGAACCTGCATATGTTTGCCATATTTTGATCTGAAAGATGAATTGAATACTAATGAATAATCAGTGTTCATTGATTATATTAATAAGAAAAGCATCGACAAACAACACTTTGATATATCATGAACACTTAGAAATGAAGAACTGCTAGATATTAAAAAGTGATGAAAAAATTATATTTCAATTTCCTCTACATACTCTTACTATGTACAAGGATGAAGCTGACAGTACATCGATTAATATTTTATATGTATCTCTGTATAGGTTTAACAATAAAAGATTATAGCAGGAACTACTGATAAAAAAGAATTGTACATAATCTACTTTCGGTGAAAGAACTAACAAAAGTATGGGATTCTCGACACTCGAAAAAGATTGCTACGCTAGGTGAAGTTATTAACAATGCTTTATTGCAATATTTCTTAACCTATTCTCATGAATACGACCTATGAGCATCCCATATCACAGTTGAAAACAATCAACTTATTGAATCCAAGTATGGTATAGAGATTAACATTTTTATTCATTGAACGACTTTTGACTCATCTTGTGAGAGTTATCATTATTTGATAAAAATCTGTATGAAAAAAACATCAGTGGTAATTTTTTTTCATTTTTTTATAAAGAAAAAGTACATAAATCGATTCCATTGAATGAGTACATTTACGAGGATCCACTAAGTGTTGACCTCTATCTTACTTCTATTGTATATATTATCGATCTGAAATTCAAATATTTCAACCTAATTTTTCTATTCATCGAACATTTTACAACAAGAAACTTTATATAAATAGTGACTGAATTTTTTGACAATGGTTTTGGGCTAATATGGTGACGAAAAATTATTAATTTTCTACTAATGTATTTTTCATATAGATTTTGTTTAACAAACGAGGTTTAACTATCATAAAAAAAATATACTACATATCAAATCATTTTTTGGTCGAATTAATACGCTTCACTCCCTTTAACTCTCGTGGTTTCACTTGACTCACAGTTATTTGTTCATTGTAACGGTATTTTTTAGTTCATACAACAGTTCAACACATATTAACAAAAGCAGTCGAGATCGGGGATGGCTATATTAGTATCAGATAGCCACTAGTTACGACATAGTAAATCATTGATCGTTCTTATTGTTCAATCACACATTATTACTTTTGAGAAATGATAAGTTTCTATCAGAGTGTGACCAAAGATTTACTGGGTAGTAGAGATCTCTGTATCTATAATCAGTTTGTCTAAAGCGATAATTTTGTTTCTCAATACATATGGATATTTTATCAAGATTATGATTATTTGCAAATCAAATTGAGCGTAAAAAAGCTTGAGAGATCAATCGTAGTTTGAGATATCTTAACTAAGAAAAATCCTGTGCTAAGCTTTACAAAATATTGTGATATTCGACAAAAAGAATTGAGAATTTCTTACAACTGTTAACACAATCAAACTTCTTGATATCTAGCAACACTTATTATATTAGTACGCACATTGAGGATGGTATCTTTTATTATAACATATGGAATACGAATGCTGAAAAGCGACTATACTTTAACTTTAACTTTTAAAGTTTAAAGTTGTACTTTAAACTTTAACGTTAAAGTAAAGTTAAAGTGCCACCCTACTCATAAAAAAAAATGTATACACAAGTTTGTTCCTCTTCTGCTTATGATTTCTCATTATCATTTCGATGTCTTTTTTTTTCAGCTAATAATATACGATCAGTGGTAATGATTATTGAGAGCAAACGTGGTGACACAATTATAGGCTAAACAGCAGTTACCCGAAGATATGATACAGATACTCGTTAAGCTGAGCCATACACCAACCATGACAACCATGATTTGATACCTCAAGAAGGATTCGAGCAACCGCCTTAGTGAAAGCGCAATACGATTAATCAAAAAAACAAGAAGCTAGTCTTGAAGTTCCATGGAAGCCATACGCCGAAAACCGTTAACGAGCTGAAGCCACTATTTCTACATATTCGACGAAGGAAATATCAAGAGACTGTCCGCGTGCCATGAGCGCAGGCCAGACTAGTGCTGCACAGCATACCATGAGCGTCCTCTATGCCCGTTGTGCGCCCAACTATGAGTTCTGGTTACTCCTCTAAATAGTCCATAAATGGTAAACAATCACAAACTATATATTCTAAGAAACGTTACGACTACAACGCATTATATTGTACATGAAGGGTTATAGGTAACCCCATATATATATTCGTTGATGACTTAGCAGTACCGTCCTTATAAAGTGCATGAAGCGTTAGCCGTACCTCTGTCATATATTAACTGATAGCTTCCCCAACAGAACAAAATTTTTCGAAAAGCAATCAAATCCATCAAAAAATTCTCGATTGTGCGAAAAATGCTTGTGCTTGCATCACAATTGCGCTTCTCCACTGTGAGCGCAAAACACCCACTTCTTGAGCCATTCTATAAGTCAAAACATATTTTCCGTCAAGGATCGTGTGTAAGTGCATGAAAAAAGACAAAAAAATGATTGCTTTTTAACATTCAACGACTGTAATAATCATTGTGATCATATCCTTGAATATGCACAATACGATCAATTTTTTCTTATTTTTATGCGCTTACACGCGTCATTTCTCTGAAAATGCTGTTCAACACACAAAACGGCCATTAATGGCCAGTTTCCGCTCCCAGTCCCCAATAGTCATTCTGATCCAAACACGCCAATTTATTGCGCATCTTAATCCATGTTTTACAAATTGCAATGCGTTTTCAAAAAATTCTGTCTCCTACAGCTGTGCGTACATCCATTATACAGAAGACGAAGCTACACGAGTATCAACGCCATGTGGTACGTAATGATTTACAATTACGAGTACCTCCACTATATAGCTTAAGGAGGGTTATGGGTGCTTTCATGAGCCTTTTAAAAATTTTATCGCGTTCTCGAAGTAGCCTTGGTGTATGAGAAAATATACACTTTAACTTCAAAATGAGTTCGAATCTCGGAAATCGATTTTCTCGCATGGCTGTCCACTGTGCTCCCATAGTAGAACTTGAGGATCCAAGAACTCCCCTCGATACCAGGACTTGAAGACCCAAGCGTACCTCCCTATAGTAGGACTTAAGGATACAAGGATACCCCTCGATACTAGGACTTGAGGACCCAAGGAAACTCCCCTATAGTAGGACTTGGTGATCCAAGAGTACTTCCGTATAATAGGACTTGAGGACCGAAGGGTACTTCCCTATAATAGAATTTGAGGACCCAAGGATACTCTCCTACAATAAGACTTGAGGAGCCAAAGGTACCTCCATATAAGAGGGCTTGAAGGTCCAAGGGTACTCTTCTATAATAGCACTTGAGGACCCAAGGGTACCTCCCTATAATAGGAGTTTAGGACCCAAGGGT